TGCCCTTCATTCCTGCTGGATCTTCTCTCGGAGGGTGGGTCCAGCCCTTTCTGGCCTGGGCTATCTGAGGGTTAATCAGATTAAAGAAGGAATTGAGGGTTCTCAGTAATTTCCATCAGGCACTTTCTGTAGGAGGGGTCCACTCTCTTCGGGGTCTGCTTCTGGAGAAGGTCTTATCAAGTCTTGCTTTCTGTATCCATAAGGTGGTCAGACTGGTGGCTTTATGTGGGTCCTTAAAACAGAGTGAGGTTGCTGAGGTGATTATCTTCTATATGCAGTCATCTAAATTAGTCTGTCAGCTAGGTTACTGGACAGAGACTAAGTGATCCAGGTTATTAGATTCCCTGGGGGTTCACCCTGGTGACATTTCATATCAATAATTGTTTTCCTTAGGCCCCATTCCTAATCTCATCCTGCCTGCTCCCTTTGTGTCCCTATCAAATGTCTTCAGTTCCATTCTTGGGGGATTCCTAAAACCCCATTAGAAAAACCAGTAAAGTCTGCCCAGCTATCCCCAAAGTCTTTGGGATGCTGGTGATGGAATTATGATCACAGAAGCCATCATTAACTGTATTATAAATCACAGAACAGCAGTCAATTATGGTTTTCTTTTTTAATGATTTAGCACTATTAGCGCTGTCTTCCCGTTGTTCATTGATTTGCTTGAGCGGGCACCAGTAACATCTCCATTGTGAGACTTGCTACTGTTTTTGGCGTCTTGAATATGCCACGGGGAGCTTGCCAGGCTCTGCCCCATAGGCGGGACACTCTCCGTAGCTTGCCGGGCTCTCTGAGATGGATGGAGGAATTGAACCCGGGTCCGCCACTGCTGTGTATGGACCGGATCAGGATGGCTCCTCCTTTGTGCTCTGCTTCTGTGTGTGCTGCTGTGCTCTCTCTGGCCTCTCTATTTCTGACTCTGTCTCTGTAGTCTCTTCTCCGGTCTTTTCTGATCTCTCTCTCTGGAGCCCTTCTGCTTCTCTCTCTGGAACGCTTCATGTTCTGCATTCTGACTCTGCCCCCTTCTTCCGTTCTCTGCTTCTTCTTCCCCGGATCCTGACCTTGACTTCCGGAGCCCGACCTACTCTCACTTCTGACTCTGTCCCCTGGATTCTGACTTGCCCTTCTTGCTTCTGACTCTGCCCCCTCCACTCTTACATTCTTAGTTTATATAGCAATCACATAGTGTGGTGACACAAAGCTGGGATGAACATTAATAAATCAACAAAGAGGGGTAAAACCACTCCTCCAGGAGATTAACTCAAGGATAAAATCTCATCTAAAGAGATTATTCTGGGGGCTGGAGTAATAGCACAGCGGGTAGGGCATTTGCCTTGCACGAGACCGACCCGGTTCGATTCTCAGCATCCCATATGGTCCCCTGAGCACCGCCAGGGGTAATTCCTGAGTATAGAGCCAGGAGTAAACCCTGTGCATTGCTGGGTGTGACCCAAAAAGCAAAATAAAAAAATAATAAAGAGATTATTCTGGATTACTAGGAGATCCGCTTAAGGGTGGGACCCCTTCCAGGGTGTGTCGCTTTCTTCTTTCCTCGGCTAGTAAAATTACTTCTAATATTTCTAGCAATGTAATTCTATATGAGCACAGTAAGAGATATATCAAACTTAAAGTTTGGTTCTTCCTGAGGACAGCTTACTATATATTCCAGACCACAGTCCTCAGGCCAGGTTAGACTTCCTAACCCCAGCAGGGTCCTAGTCTTGTCGTTACCTTTGGATCATGACAGCATCTGTCCATGATCATACTCTCAAGTTATAGTTGAGTATCGTGGCACTTTGGCCTGGCCCACTTTGATGCCAGGGTAGCTCACAGCTTGCCCTGGGTCCATTCAGTCCCTCATCAGGACCCTGATTTTTGGGGTGCTAGGAACTAAGGACAACTGAGTGGAGAAAGCAGATGTCCAGGAGTAAATATTGGAGTCAATCAACTCCCAAGTTACAAAGCATAATACTGTCTTCCTGTGTCCATACAGAAAGGACATTGCTATAAGGTAAACTAAGTTCCCTGTGGCAAGGCTGAAAGGACAAACCCAATGTTATCCTACATCTCCCCCTTTTCTTTTTACAAAAAACACAAAAATTTGAATTAGAGGAACAATTCCAAATCACAATACAGTCTTATTAGTTGTACTAAGATTTCAGTCCAACCCTGGACCCAAAGCAGTGCTTGTAATAAAGCATCCATTGTCCTGCACTATCCAGAGATGATGAGAGTCCCTTTTCCACATTTTGACAACACCATGCGTCTCAGTGAGGTTTAAAGAGCTGTTCCGGCAACAGCAATGGTAGTGGTCATAGCATTGAGTCTCTGGGGAACTTCAATCAGAAGTCTGACAAATTGTCAGCCAGTCTGTAAAGGAAGCTAGAAAACCTTTTTTTGCCATTTCTCTAATGTTGACTCCTCCGATTTCCCTGTGACTTCCAGTTGAAATCGGTTTGGCTGACTGGACTTTAGAAGGTTAAGTAGTTTCTGACGATTTGAGGGTTGAATTCGGTGAATCAATTTGACTTCTGATGAGACATAGCTGAACTCAAATTTTCTTTGTGAGTCTGTTACCTGTGAAAATATAAACATAGACTTCTCCTCCTATGAGGAGTTTCCCCAATATATTCAAGTAGGGAAATACCTCCTTTTTCGTTTTTGATTTAACATGCCACATAGCCACTGAATGCGTAAAGGTGGTGGGCTTAAAGTAGCAGTGTTCCCTTAATAGTCAAGCTGCTTTCTCCCTAAAAGTAGGCCTATAGCACCTTGTGGGATTGGTACCTTTACACCAGAATTTAATTTGTAGGGACACTGGGCAGGGGTTATAGTAATCGTATCAGGACAGGAAATATCCAAATCTGCGCTTCCTGCCATCACTGGCTGCAGCGATTGTACTGATTGGAGCTCTGAGACTCCACACTGGGGAGAGGGGCTGCAACTGGGAACATCCCCTGATTCTGCGGGGTCTGGGGCTGGCCCCCTTGACAGTTTCCCGAATTGGGGTCAACAGCTGCATCAAAATTGAAGCGGCGGTCTCTGGCCCAGTGATTTCCCCTCTTACACCTGGGACAGGGTCCAGGAGGTTCAAGTCTGGCTCGGCAGTCCCCACTGGTTTCCCTTCTTACACCTGGGACAGGGCCGAGGAGATGATCTCACAGTAGCACGGTTGGGAGGCTCCCTGCAATCTTTATGAAAGTGGCCTGGTTCTCAACAATTAAAACATCTTTTCTGAGCTCGTAAGGCATAGACCTCAACAGGCTTCATCTCCATCTAATGTTTAACAGGACCAACATTCCATGCTTTCAAGTCCCCCATTATGTCCTCCTCCTCCTTAATAGAATGCAGGATGGCCTAACAACCTTCCTTAGCGGTTTCAAAGGCCAATTGTCTCCTTACCCTTAACCTGCATTTCAGTGGCTTCCAACAACCTTCCTATGAAGTCTGCATAAGGTTCTGAGACCCTCTGAATAATCTTTGTAAAACTTCCCTTAAATTCCCCATCTGCATCAATCTTCTCCCACGTAGGCAGGGCTGCGTCACAGACTTGAACAAAAACAGCATGAGACAAGGTGACCTGTCTTTTTGGGTCGTGCCATTTTCTTTCACCTATTAACATCTCATAAGTCAATTTAAACCCTGAAATTTGTCGTCCAGTATGGCCTAGGCCCTGAAGTTTTTGCCTTGGCCTCATCACTGGACCACATCCTCCACTGCAAGTACTGAGAAGAGCTTAAACAGTTTAATCAACCATGTGAAAATCCTGGGGTACCCAATGAGCCTTTTCACTCCAGTCTGTAGGTCATTCTATGCAGTACAGAGATGTAGGTCCGTACAAGGCACAGGCCCTTTCGAAATGACTGAATCCATTCTTAACCTGTCATAAGATGGAGGCTGCTTTATTTATTTATTTACTTATTTATTTGCTTTTTGGGTCATACCCGGCGATGCACAGGGGTTACTCCTGGCTTTGCACTCAGGAATTACTCCTGATGTGCTCGAGGGACCATATGCAAAACAAAGTCTTCGGGATTTGAGCTGGCCCTTCCGAAGAAGAGCTTTGACATACTCTGGACAGACATCTCCAAGACGTCTGCCCTTCCTGAATGGCTTAGAAACAGCTGTTTCTCACGATTGATCTAAAAAAGTGACAACACATGGTGATTTTTTTTTCTTTTCATTTCTGTGGACTTGATATCCCTTGTCAACATAAAGCTGTTTCTATTTTGCCATTTTGTTCTTTTTGAAGTGCGTGTGGTGGTGGGGTGGGGGGAAGCCCTCCTAGTGGTGCTGTGGGGATCACACAGTGCTGGGGATCAAACTCAGAACTCCCCACACGTGAAGCATCCCCACTAGCCTTTTGAGCTATCTCCACGCCAACTGGAAGCTGTTTTTATTGATGGGCATTTTGATAACACTGATGTGACCAAGACCCCCATGACATCTCAGAGTGTTCGCTTCTTCGGTGCTATCAGGAGAGATGAGGACTTGCTCCCGATAGTAACTGCCTGTTTTCTTTTCTTTTTATTTTAAATTTTTTTATTAGTGAAACACCATGAGGTACAGTTATAGACTTGCAAATTTTTGTGCTTGGGTTTCAGTTATACAATGATCAAGCACCCATCCCTCCCCCAGTAGTGCCCATCCTCCACCACCACGGGTCCCAGCATCCCTCCCACCCCCCATCCCGCCTGTCCCACCCTGCCTCTGTGGCAGGGCATTCCCCCTTATTCTCTCTCTCTCTCTTCTTTTGGGTACTGTGTTTTGCAAGAGAACTGCCTGTTTTCTGAAAACGGTGGGGAGTGAAGCAATTCGGGAGCCAGAGAATCAGCCCCTCCCACGGGGGGGGGGGCGTCTGGAGGGGAGTCGGGTTTCCTCCCGCTCCCTGGACGAAAGCCAAGCCTGAATCTCGTTTATCTAATGGGATTCTCGGAAGGGGGTGGGGCGACTGGAAAAGCCTAGAAAAGCCTCAGTCTGGGAGAGGAAACGCACTCGGTCTGCAGAGCGCTGGTGGTTCTGGGATTGGATCGCCAAGCCAGGCCATGGCGCTGCAGGTAAGCGCTTCCCCTGGGTGGGGGGCGGCCCATCCTCACCCTGGTGGTCGGTGCCTGCGGGCAGGGCTCGTGCACGGGAACGGAGAGGTCGCACCTCTCTGGTCGGATGAGCAGATCGGGCTTTGCCTGTAAGGGCAGTTTTGCTTTTTGTGTTTCTTCCCTTTTTTTTTGGGGGGGGGGATGGGCCGCGGGGAGCACAGCCAGTGGTGCTCAGGCCTTAGGCCTTGCTCTGCACACAGCGACCACTCCTAACGGGGCTTGGGGTCGCACCCAGCTCTGCCACGTGCAAGACACATATCCTACCTGCTGTACTGCGGCTCAGGCCTCCAAGGCCGTTTTATTTTTTGCTTTTTGGGTCACACCCCAGCGATGCTCTGCACTCAGGAATCATTCCCGGTGGTGCTGGGGGGGGGGAACATATGGGATGCTGGGGATCGAACCCGGGTCGGCTGCCTGCCAGGCAAACGCCCTACCCGCTGTGCTATCGCTCCGGCCCCCTATGATCATATTTTTTTTTTCATGAAAATGTTTTATTTTCATATTTTTTGAGGGGTGGGGGCGGGGAAGCGGGACTGCGCAGGCGCCGTAGGCAGCCGACCAATAGGGAAGCCGCGCGTTCTTGGGGGCAGCCCGCGCCCCGTGATGACGTCAACAAGCCCCGCCCCCTTGCGGGGGCGTTTGTGGGCTTTGCCCCGCGCGCAGCCTGCACCTTTGGAGTTAGGAGCGCCAGGGGGCGATGTGGTCCTGGTGGTGGGCGTGTCGTTGGTGCTAATCTAATATATGTATAGATTTTTAAGATTCCTACAAGTAAACATCTTGTTTATTTACTTATTTTGCTTTTTGGGCTCACACCCAGTGATGCTCAGGGGTCGCTCCTAGCTCTGCACTCAGGAGTTACTCCTGGCAGTGCTTGGGGGGAATCATATGTGATGCTGGGGATAGAACCCCGGTGGGCCACGTGCCTGGCAAGTGCCCTACCCGCTGTACTATGACTTCGGCCTCTCTAGGTTATTTTTTTCATTTGTTACGTTTTGGAGGAAACCCACGCCTGGCAGTGCTTAGGACTTAATCCTGGTTCTGTACTCAGAGATTACTCCTGGCATTGCTCGGGATGGGTGTGCATCATATGGGGTGCCAGGGATCAAACCAGGCCAGCCGCATATAAGGCAAACACCCTATCCACTGTACTGTCACTCTGACTCTATTAATTGAAAAAAATTAATGACTGGGTTTCTGGCATACAATTTGAATTTAAAAAATGGCCGGGGGGGGGGGGGCTTTTTGGGTCACACCCAGCGATGCTCAGGGGTTACTCCTCCTGATTCTGCACTCAAATCACTCCTGGTGATACTCGGGGGACCATATGCGATGATGGGAATCGAACCTGGGTTGGCCCCATGCAAGGCAATGCCCTATCTACTGTGCTATCGCTCCAGCCCCTAAAATTTTTTTTTTTATTTTACTAAAGCACCAGGATTTGAAAAGTTTTTATTGTTTTATTTATTTAATTTTTTAGTTTTTTGCTTTTTGGGTCACACCTGGCAATGCGGAGAGGTTACTCCTGGCTCTGCACTCAGGAATTACTCCTGGCAGTGCTCAGGGGACATATGGGACTTGAACCCGGGTTGGCCGCATGCAAGGCAAACTCCCTACCCGCTGTGCTCTCGCTCCAGCCCCATGTTTTATTTTTAGATGTACTATTATTTTCTTTGTTATCAATGAGCCTATTCAAGCAAGTCTGGTGCTGTAGGCCAGGTATACTCTTGACCCTGCATTACAGCAGTTTTCATTGCCTTTATAGGTTAGCTTATTAAACAGTGTCTTAAAATTTGGTTTTCATTCACATTTTAAATATTGAGTTTGCACACAAGTTTTATGTGCCAGATACATTGTGGTTTAGTGCTTTCTCTAGCTCTATTTTTTGTGTCAGCATGCAATATTTTAAAGAATAGAGTATTCAAATGAATTGTGTTCTTGCTTTTAATACCTTCCAACGTAGTTTTTCTAGTATCTGCAAAGAGGTGTTGCAAGAGAACTGTACAGCTCGGGAATTTCCAGGTTTCATATGGTATTTTTGGTTACCTGACTTATTCAAGTCTGGAAGATTTGAAAGTGAACATTCCTGGCTCCTATTTTAAATATAACTCCTTACCTGGCTGGAGCAATAGCACAGCGGGTAGGGCGTTTGCCTTGAACGCAGCTGCCGGCCGACCTGGGTTCCATTCCTCCACCCCTCTCAGAGAGCCCAGCAAGCTACGAGCATATCTCGCCTGCACGGCAAAGCCTGGCAAGCTACCCGTGACGTATTCCAGATGCCAAACACAGTAACAACAAGTCTCACAATGGAGACGTTACTGGGCCCGCTTCAAATCGATGAACAAGGGGAGGACAGTGCTACATACAGTGCTACCTCTTCACAGCCAGTGGAAGTGTGGGAGCTGAACATTCTTTGTGGAACCCTAAATACAGAGTTCCTATGTTTTAAGAGAAAAAGCATTGGCCAAAGATTTACCCCAAGAAGGATGGGGTCAGCACTCAGGCAGTTGATACTCCAGTGAAACTGAAATCAGGGAAGCAGTGGTGGCAAGAATGACCCAACCTCTTTTCCTCCTCTTTAGAATTCTGAAAGAAATGGAGAGGCTCCTCCTCTGGTGGGGTGGGGGTGCAGGAGAGAGACTAGAGTGTTGTATGTGGTTGGCATGAAAAGGATGATTTCTTTCTTTTTTTTTTTTCCAAACTGAATCACTGTGAGATACAGTTACAAAACTTTCATGTTTGAGTTTCAGTTGTATAATGATCAAACACCCATCCCTCAACCACCATTATCCCCAGTATTAACCCCTCCCCCCCCGCTTCCAACCCTCCTCCTGCCTCTATGGTAGACAATTTCCCCCATACTCTCTCTACTTTTGGGCATTATGGTTTGCAATATTGACACTGAGAGGTTATCATGTTTGGTCCTTTATCTACTTTCGGCACACATCTCCCATCTGGAATGATTTCCTCCAACCATCATTGACTTAGTGATACCTTCTCTATCCCAGCTGCCTTTTCCCCCAGCTCATGAGACAGGCTTCCAGCTATGGAGCAATATTCCTGGCCCTTGTATTTACTGTCCTCGGGTGTTAGTCTTATATAATGTTATTTTTCAGTCTCATTCTGTTATTTTTGTTTTTGGTTTTCTTTTGGGGGGGGGGGTCACACCCAGCGATGCACAAGGCTTACTCCTGGCTCATGCGCTCAGGAATTACTTCTGGCAGTGCTTGGGGGACCATATTGGATGCTGGGAATCGAACCCAGGTCAGCTGCGTGTAAGGCAAATGCCTTACCCGCTGTGCTATTGCTCCAGACCCTCATTCTGGTGTTTTTTTTTTTTTTTTGGCTTTTTGGGTCATACCTGGCGATGCACAGGGGTTACTCCTGGCTCTGCACTCAGGAATTCCTCCTGGCGGTGCTCAGGGGACCATATGGGATGCTGGGAATCGAACCCGGGTCGGCCACGTGCAAGGCAAACGCCCTACCCGCTGTGCTATCACTCCAGCTCCTCATTCTGTTATTTTCGAATGATTCTTTACTGGATGTTTTCACAGCCTCACCGACAGAACAAAAAACGTGGGCTTGAGAACCCCCGCAGCCTCCTGCGCCTGTCCATGGAGAGCCTGCTGAGGGAGGAGGACCGGGTCATCGCCGCTCTGGAACACTTTCCCCAAGAACTCTTCCCACAACTCTTCCTAGAGGCCTATGCGCAGAAATGCAGGGAGATTGTGAAGGCCATGGTGCGTTACTGGCCTTTCCAGTGTCTCCCTGTGGGGTGCCTCATAGAAAACTTGAATCTTCCGAAGACTTTCCGTGGTCTACGGGATGTGTTGGACGGAATTGATATTCTACTCTCTCGAAAGTTTCACTCCAGGTAAGCCAAGTCCAAGAGCCAGTAGGACACTGGGTTTACGGGAGAGACGGCCTGCAGTCAGTGGAGAGGAGGGGATGGGTGTGAGTTACAGAACCCCTGTTAAGCTCCTCACTGCTTGAAGGCCAATTACATGAGAGAGAAAAGTGTTGATGTGAGAAGTGTTTGTTCGGTGATGAGCTACCTGGAAAAAGGGCAGACTCAGATCTCCTCTTTAAAGATCTTTCTCTTGGGCTGGAGCAAATAGCACGGCAGGTAGGGCGTTTGCCTTGCACATGGCCGACCTGGGTTCGATTCCCAGCATCCCATATGGTCCCCCAAGCACCCCCAGGAGTAATTCCTGAGTGCTTGAGCCAGGAGTAACCTCTGTGCAACGCCAGGTGTGACCCCAAAACAAAAAAAAAATTTAAATAAATAAAGATCTTCCTCTCAGAGAGAAGAAAGGTAATCTGTCATAGAGGCAGGCTAAGGGTGGGGGGGAGAGTGATGAGAGGGAAACTGGGGACACAGGTGCTGGGAAATGTACACTGGTAGAGGGATGGGTGTTGGGACACTGTATGACTGAAACCTAATTATGGACAGCTTTGTGAGGGTCTATCTCACAGCTACTTGATAAAAAATTATAAAAACAAATAAATTTGACCAAGGAGGAAAAAAAGAAAAAAAAAATCCTCTCACATTGGGTTTGGAAGCTTAGAGAGGAGAAACTTTATGGCTAAGGCCAGAGCAGGAAGTTCTGTCCTGGGGCTATTCCAGCTGGCATCAGAGGCTGATGGAGCGTTAAAGGATGATGGTCTGTTAGCATGACCAAACCACCATCTTTCTCCAGGGTCTCACAATAACCTTCGAGAGTCTTTCCAGAAGGCTTCCCATTGACTCTGCACAGGATGGGGAAGACTCTTGGTTATAGGAAGCAGGAGTATTTCCAGAGAACCTACTCCCATGTAACTGGATCTAGTTTAACACCAAACACACAGATGAAAACATCTCTTAGGACAGAGGGACAAAAGACCCAAGGGGAAAGGAGCTATAAGAAATTAATTTGTGGGATTCAATCAGCTAATCAGTGGCTGAATAAATAGCAATACTCCTACATTAAAAAAAAAAAAGAAAGAAATTAGTTTGTGGGGCTGGAGCGATAGCACAGCAGGTAGGGCATTTGCCTTGCACACGGCCAGCCCAGTTTCGATTCCCAGCATCCCATATGGTCCCCTGAGCACCACCAGGAGTAATTCCTGAGTGCAAAGCCAGGAGTAACCCCTGTGCATCGCCGGGTGTGACCTAAGAAAAAGCAAAAAATTAAAAAAAAAAAAAAGCAATTTGTGCATAAGGAGTTGGAGTTGTTAATGCTTCAAGGCGGAGTGCTTCTAACGTGAATAAGAGAGCTTAAGGGCTTGATGAGGGGGAGTTCTGGGAAATGACTTTCAGAGCTGTAGGAGAGTTTCCAGTGACTTGTATCTGAAAGGACGCGTTCTTCCCTCTTTGCAGTGACCCCCTAAATATTCCAGTATTAGAGATAAAACAGGATGGGGTGGCAGGGGATAAGACAGCAGCAGGGAAGGAAAAGGATGTGGCAGCAACTGACGATTGGGGTGTGAAGGGAAGCAGAGATGAGACGTGGCTCTCGCAAAACGTCACACAACTGCATGGCCTTACGCATGTCCTCCGATGTCCTTTCCCACAGGAGGTGCAAACTGGAGGTGCTCGATTTGCGTTACACTGCTCAGAAGTTCTGGACTCAGTGGTGTAATAGAGAAGAAACTGATCAAAGCACTTCGAGAGTGAAGATTGATGAAAGTTCCAGGAAGATGCACCCAGCTGCGCCTCTGGAGGTGATCTTAGATTTGTTGCTCATCAATGGTGACACGGATCAGTTGAGCTCCATCATTGTGAAGTGGGCAAGTGGGAGGAAAAAAATCCACCTGTGTATTCGGAAAATGTACTTCGTGGACTCGCCCTTCCACAATCACGACATGGATTTCATTCAGCCTGGCTGTATCCAGGAAGTGGAAGCAACGTTCGTGAATAGGAAGCTCAGCTTCGAAACCTTCTCTCCTCTCGGCCAGATGAAGCGGCTGCAGCGACTGTGTCTTATCGTGATGGGCCTCGAACACATCTGCCCTGGGAATCAGGCCCGGGAGCAGCTCGTCACTGAGCTCTCCTCTCAGCTGCTCAAGCTGCACGACCTGCAGGAGCTCTATGTGGATTCATTTTTCTTCTTCAGAGGCCATCTGGACAAAGTACTCGGGTGAGTGTGTGGGTGTGGGTGTGTGGGTGGGTGTGGGATGGGACATGTGGGGGGAGTATGTCACAGAGGAACTGTAGGGATTTATCCAGGTAGGAGGCCATCAGTGGAGGGGGTGGGGTTGTGCTTATTCCTGAAGCAGGTGAGCGAGAGGACTCCGGAGAAGTGCTCCGTGAAGAGGGCAAACTCGCCCGTTCTGAGCATTTCCAAAGAGCACCTCTGTGCTTACCACTGTAGTCAGGAGTGAGTCTGGCTCAATTAAGCATCTGTGTGCTGCCACTGTGCTCCACTAGCATGCAACATGGACGAATGGAGACGTTACTGGTGCCCACTCGAGCTAATACGACAAGTGATGCTGCTCCAGGTTGATTGTTTTCTTTTTGAGTCACACCCAGCAGTGCTCACAGTTCACTCCTAGCTCTGTCTGTACTCGGGAATTACTCCTTAGCTGTGTTCAGGGGACCATATGGGACACTGGGAATCAAACCCTGCGTCGGCCATGTGCAAGGCAAACACCCTATCCACTTGCTGTCGCTCCAGCCCCTATAACCCGATACTTTAATCTGTGATGCCCACCTCACTTTCGACACTTTCGGTTCTCTGTTGAGTGTTTGATAGCAGATTGCAGTGCTTGGCTTCATTCTAAGCTATTGGAATGTGTTTCTAACTCTTGAGAGATAAGAAAAGGAGTTTTGTGGGAGGAAGGGTTGAGAGGCTCAGGGCTTTCTCCTGACTCTGTGCTTAGGGATCACTCTTGTAGATGCTTGGAGAGGTTATGCACTGGCCATCACACTGTGGCAGTGAATGGTATCAGACTGGGATGGGATTAGTGTGCTGGGGTTGACCATCATAAGACCGACTCAGAACTCCTGAGTTGGGACAAGAACCATAGGACAGAGAGTAGGGCATTTGCCTTGCACACAGCTGACCCGAGTTCAATCCCCAGCATCCCTTATGGTCCCTCGAGCACCGCCAGGAGTAATTCCTGAGTGCAGAGCCAGGAGTAACCCCTGAGCATAGCTGGGTGTGACCCTAAAAGCAAAAAAGACTTGAGTGGGATTTTCCATTTGGGGACCATCTTCACGTACTGTTCTAGAGCAAACTGTTTCTGTCTCCCCAGGTCCCTGACACCCCAGTTGAAAGCCCTGACAATCCTTCACTGTCCGCTTCTCGAACGAGACTTGACCCATCTGTGCCAGTTCCGCAGCCTCCCCCAGCTGAGGGAGCTGAGTCTGAGAGGCACCGACCTGAGCGTGGTTGGGGAGTCCCTCCCAAATATGCTGGAGAGCTGTGCCTCCACCCTGCAGGACCTGGACTTAGGAATATGTAGGCTCCAGGACGTCCACCTGGAGGCCATCCTGCCTGTGCTGAAACTCTGCTCCCAGCTCAAGATCCTGAACCTCCACTGGAACGACGTGTCCATGGCCTTCCTGGTCCAGATGCTGCGCGACCTGGCCGGGCTGCCCCACTTAGTGATGGAGCTGTATCCGCCCCCTCAGGAGAGCTACCGGCCTAACGGCGGCGGCCTCCGGTACGCAGCCTTGGAGGTGGTTTGTGAAGAACTGTTGGAGGTTCTCAGGGACTTAGGGCAGCCCAGGTCCATCATGATCGGCTGCGATCTCTGTTCCTACTGTAGCACGATTATCTTCAACAGCGGCCAGCCCATGTTAAGCCCCGCCTGCTGCAGAAGCGTTCAGATTCGGAAGATTTCACATTGGAACTCTGAGGACAAGGGAGTGACTATTTTGGGGTTTTAGGGATCAGGTCTGTGGATTCAGAGGTGGTCCGTGTGACAGTAAAAATGAATAGTGGGGACTGTTGAGTGATTTATAGTGGGCGTATGATGGGGGGCTTTGGAGACTTGTAGCTGCAAAATCTGTATTACCGAGACATTTGCACCTGGGATATACCTGTACGTTCGTTGTTCATATAGACAGTGTTAAAGTTGGCTGGGGGGAGGGTGGGGGGGAGCCTTGGAGTGATTGTACAGCTGGGGGGGCATTTGCCTTCCATGCAGCTGAGCTGGGTTGATCCCTCTTTGATCCAAAACACCATAAATAAATAAATAAATAAAAAGATGGCTCGAGATTCAAAGAACTCTGGGTGACTCAGCAGTACAGCACGTCTCTCACGTGGAGGTCCCGGGTTCTAACCCTGACATTGCAGAAACTGAAATACATTTAAGGGACCTCGATGTAGACCTGTCTTTCTCTGCATGGTTAGTCACCTGCTTGCTCCCCACTCCATTCGAATCCCAGATACTGGTAAGACCAGGGAGACGAGTTTCCATGATGATGAACCAGCTGCTGCATGAGCTTTGGTCTCAGGATCTGTGGATTCTCATTCCCTCTCACCCCCACCCTGCGGTTATCTCCAAGAGGCACCACCCCCTCCTCTTATTTGTCTGGCTTCAGAGGGTTATAATACAATATTTATGCTCCTTGAGCCCTGTGGGAAGGGCTCTGGCAAGGCCCACCTTAGGTGTCAGGGCCCTGGGCACCAGCATTCCTCTGGCTGTCCAAGGTGAATTCTTGAGTCCGATTCTGCCTTGTTTGTCCAGACCGGCGCTTTATGAGACAAAGCAGAGCCTGGCTCTCAAAGGAATGCCCCTATGCCATATTCACTGGACTATGATCTCAAGCACCATGTATGTCGTGAGTGGGTAGAACACGGAACAGTTCATGTGTAGTAAAGTCATTAAGATTCCTTAAGGGGCTGGAGCGATAGCACAGCGGGTAGGGCATTTGTCTTGCACGCAGCAGACCTGGATTCAATCCCCAGCATCCCATATGGTCCCCCAAGTACCACCAGGAGTAATTGCTGAATGCAGAGCCAGGAGTAAGCCTTGAACATCTCTGGGTGTGACCCAAAAAGGAAAAAAAAATTTTTTTAAAAAAATTTTTATTAGTGAAACACCTTGAGGTACAGTTGTAGACTTATAAATTTTTGTGCTTGGGTTTTAGTTATACATTGATCAAGTACCCATCCCTCCACCAGTGCCTATTCCACTACCACTGATCCCACTATCCCCCCCAACCCCTCCCCCCCCCAATCCCACCCTGCCTCTGTGGCAGGGCATTCCCTTTTACTCTCTTTTTGGGTGCTGTGGTTTGCAAAAGAGGCATTGAGTGGCAATCATGTTCGGTCTATAGTTTCAGCATGCATCTCCCATCCTGGAAGGATCCTCCCAACACCCTTTTTTTTGGTGCTCCCTTCTCTCTCTGAGCTGCCTTTTCCCCTAGCATGTGCGGCTGACCTCCAAGCCATGGAATAAACCTGATACTTACCTCGGCTGTTCTTGGGTGTTATTTTGTTACTTTATGTTCCCCAGATGAATGCAATCTAAGAAAAAAATATATTAAAAAAAATTCGTTAAGAAAATTTCTAACTATAACACATAGAGCATTCATTTATCTTTTTATCTTTGTTTTGCATTTATGCTTGTTTTTGTATTTTGAAGTTGTGGTTATTTGGACCACTGCTGCAGTACTTGTAGAGGTCAGATCAAACTCTGAGCTCCCGTGTACAAAACCCTGAGGCACATTTAAAAAGAACTTGTATGATAGTGGTGGAAGATTCCAGCATGGCCACTTGCAGCTGGGGAACACCCAGTCCACCCGCATCACTGCAGACTCCAGTGTTTGGGACATGGGGAGCTGTCCCAGGCTCCAGGAGAGAACAAGTTTGTTCGTTATCTGGCCTCAAGGATTGAGAAATGAGCACCAAAAGTCATGAGTAGGAGCAGATGGACTTCCGCGCTCAAGAACAGAGAGAAACGGGTCGGAAAGATGGCAAAGTGGATAGAGAACTTGCCTTGTACACCTCGCTGGGTTCAATCTTTGACATTTCGTAAGGTTTCTCTGAGCCGGTTCATTTATTCATGAATGAATCCTGAGTGCAGTACCAGGAGTAACACCTGAGAGGTGTACTCTCACCCACAACAAAGGGCCCTAGAGATAGTACAGTGAGTACTGTCTTTAACGTGTGCACACACACAACGTGTACTGTCTTTAACCTTGCACACACCAGTGTGGAGTTTGAGGCCCCAGCATTGTATATGGTGTCCCACGCACCTTGAAGAGCAATTCCTGAGTGCAGAGTCAGGAGTAACCATCAAGTGTAGCCCAAAACACAAAAAAACAAAACAGATAAATTTGGGTTGGAGATATAGTAGAGTGGGTGAGGAGTTTGCCTGGCATGCTGCTGACCTGGGTTCAATTCCCGGCACCTCATATGGTCCCCTGAGCACCTCCAAGAGTGGAGTAGAGTCAGGAGTAAGTTCTGAGTATCGCTAGGTTGTCCCCTCAAAAACAAAAAACAATCCGCCCCCCCAAGAAACCCAGATAGAAACAGTCCTTTCCCTTTATTTATGGTTTGTAGTTTGGTGGTACTGGGATTTGAACTCGGCTCCTCACCCATGCAAGACAAGTACTCTATCAGTGGTGGGAGCAGATTGCAGGCAAAGCTCTTAGGATCTCTCCGTCTCCCTTAGATTATTCTTTGAAGGTTTTTATTCTGGACGTTTGCTTTGCCATCTTCCTACCTTGGCCTGGAGCAATAGCACAGCGTGTAGGGTGTTTGCCTTGCACGCGGCGACCCAGGTTTGATTCCTCTGCCCCTCTCAGAAAGCCCAGCAAGCTACTGAGAGCGTCTCGCCCACATGGCAAAGCCTGGCAAGCTACCCGTGACGTATTCGATATGCCAAAAACAGTAACAACAAGTCTCACAATTTGTTATGAGACGTTACTGGTGCCTGCTCGAGCAAATCGATGAACAACGGGAGGACAGTGCTACGGTACTTCCTACCTTACTATACATACTTTTTGCATGAAATTGGGTAGAACTGAATTATACTACATAGACATGCATGCGGCCAATCTGTGTTCAACACCCAGAACCGGATATGGTCCTCTGAACACTGCCAGAAGGAAATTCTGAGCACTACTGGATGGGGCCCCCAAATAAGCAAACCAACAAACCAGAATGATAGCCTGAGAATTAGTGTTATATAGAAACCTGTAGTTGGCACCAGGTGGAATCGGGGAGAGATAGTCACGGAGAAGGCTGAGGGGTGAGGGTGTTCTTCCTTTCTTTGGGCTCTGAGACTTTAAAAGATTCTTTGTGTTCTCCAGCTCAGAGTGGGAGATATACTCGAATATGTCAGATGTTAACACCCACTGAGATTCTGTGAGAGAAAGTATTGGTTTCAGAGGTCACACTCTATCCGGAGAAAAAAAGGGGCTTTTCTTCAAAGGCGCCTGAAGACACGTATCGAGCAGAATCTTCATGTGCAAAGAGCTGCTGAATTTTGAGAAGTTGCATTGATCTCAACTGGCATGTCTGGTTGAATTCATCTGTAAAATGTACTTGGAATGAGGTCAGTGGGGCTCTCCTCAAGGTCAGAACGTCCCTGGAAATCAATCAGGAGGTGATGAGCCTCCTCTGTGGGATGAAGCAAGTCCTTCAGTGAAGATGTCGCTCCAGAAAATACGGAATAATTAACTGGGCTATGAGCTTAGATGGCAGCAGTGATAGAATGTGGGTGTGGCTGTTGCAACTACCCAAAGAATGGGATTGGGGGTGGGGAGGTCGCCTGCCTCAGGGGTTACTCTTGAACCCAAGGTCAACTTTAATTTCTGAACATCAGTAGGTGTGTCTCAAACAATCCTCCCCACAAAAGAGTGGCCTCTTAGGCCAGTTCCCTTTTAATTTCTATGCTCTGCACATAGAAACTTTTTCTTTTGTCTTTTTAAGGTTTTGGGGGCCACGCCTGGCAATACTCAGGGGATACTCCTGGCTCTGCACGTAGGAATCACTCCTGGCAGGTATTTGGGGAACCATATGGACTGCTGGGGATAAAATCTGGGTCAGCCACATGCAAGGCAAGCACTCTATTCGCTTTATGATCTTCCTGATCCCTACAAATAGAAACTCTTAAAAAATATATATATTGAATCACCATGTTACAAAGCTGTTGATGTTTGGGTTTCTTTTCTTTTCTTTTTTCTTTTTTTTTCCCCGGCTTTTTTTTAGGTCACATCTGGCGATGCACAGGGGTTACTCCTGGCTCTGCACTCAGGAATTACTCCTGGCGGTGCACGGGGGTGGGGGTGGGGGGCGCAGGGGAGACCATGAGACCATGTGAATGCTGGGAATCGTATTGAACCCCGATTGGTCTCGTGCAAAGCAAACACCCTACCGGCTGTGCTATCACTATAGCCCCATGATGTTTGGGTTTCATTCATACAATCTTCCAACACCTTCACCAGTGTAAGTTTTCACCACCAATGTCCCCAGTATCCCTCCAGCCCGCATCCCAGACACCCTGCCGCCCAGTCTGCCTCTATGGCATTTATTTCGATTGCTTGGAAATGATATTTTCTGTGAAACTGTTTCAACAATGGAATATATCCATGTGGTTGTGTACAAAGACTCCTTCCCACAGGCCACAGTATTTTATTTACTATTTTCTTTGATAATATCAAGAAGAGATAAACTATTCCCTTTTTCACCCCAGGGTAGTGCCTACCTTTATTAGCAAAATTCAGCTATGCCTTAGGCGATGCAGTTCATGGACCTTTGATTGCCCCTCCTTTTCTTTTCTTCTCTGAATTAACATTTGATCCAAGCAACTAATCTGGTCAAAGGAAAGGATCTAATCTCTTGGGATTCAGGTACCCACCCTACTCTCCCTTTTTCCTTATTGGAGGAAAGCACTTGTGAAAAGAAGATGGGATTAGCAAGGTCTATAAAAGCACCAGGCTTCTAAGAAGAGATGCAGAACTTTACCATCCTCAAGTCTTAACTACAGGAGCTCCAGGAGGTGTAAGACGGGTCCACCATGTCTGAGTTGGTAAGTTAGCTATGGAGCTAATAATAAGCACAGGTAACTCATGGTCAGCATTGTGTGGGTAGGGTGATATTGATCTTTTGGAAAAACTAGGAAAATGATCTGGGTCATTTTTCTTAACAGGTTTTTCAGAGACATTCTCAGAGAATAGATTACAGATTTGGGTTTTGTCTCCAAGGGTTGTCTTATATTCACCTCAAATTAATTGATTTTTTTCCTGAGTTGCATCATTTTTATGTGTATAGATACATCCATACCTTTTCAAAGTAGAATGTTTAAAATAAAAAGCATGTAACTTCTGGGGAGTTCTGATTCCTGTGTCCTGTGCCCCTCATTTACAGTTTCATAAGTTCTTTCTGATTTTCTAGTATCATTGTTTTTTAACAAAAGCTTATTCAGGTTATAGAACATTATTTAGGATATAGTCCTCACTCTAGTTTGCAATGTTTGTAAGGATATATTGGTCTGGACGGTGAAGAAGCCCATGCCTGGCATGTGTGAGGCCCTGGGTTGCACTCTTAGCAACACAAAACGAGAAAAGGAAATGGCACCTTGTCACCTGGATTTTTCCACAGGTTTGCCTTAGTAGAAGAGCAAGAATGGGGAACTCATTACAAGTCCGTCTCCTGGACCTGGCAAGTTGGAGCCTGCTGAAGCACCAAGATTTGGCCATCGCCTCTCTGGAAACCCTTCCCACAGAGCTCTTCCCACAACTCTTCCTGGATGCCTTCCAACTCAAATGCACAGAGACGCTGAGGGCCATGGGGCAGGTCTGGCCCTTCCCCACTCTCCCACTGGGGAGGCTGTTACATGAAATTCTTCCTTGTATGAAGAGTTTAGAAGCAGTGATGGAGGGAATTGATGTGCTGCTTGCTCAGGAGGTTCACTCCAGGTAAGGTTCTGGACATCCTGGAAGGGTGACAGGCATCCTGGAAGAGAGAGTGGGTCAGGGAGAGAAGGGGCCAGTAGGTGGATCAGACACGTCTGATACCAATGGAAAACTGAGTGTGCTCTTGCACTGGCGTCTCCCATGGGGAGAAGCCTTCTAGAAGCAAAGCGTAGCCCATCTTAGGAGACTGTGTCTGAAGGAACCTGTTCCTCTCGTCTTCCTATAAGTCCTTAAACAAACTAGAAGTAGAGGATGGAATGGAAATGACAGTGGGGAAAAAGTCAGAAAAGAGGGTGGACGAGAACAGATGACTGGTTAAAGAAACTTTGGTACATTTACACAATGGAGTACTATGTAGCTGTTAGAAAAGATGAAGTTATGAAATTTACATACAAGTGGTACTACATGGAAAGTATCATGTTAAGTGAAATGAGTCAGAAAGAGTGGGATAGACACAGAAAGATTGCATTCATCTGGGGAACACAAAGCAACAAAACGGGACACTAACACCCAGGAATGGCTGAGATTAGTACCAGGAATTTTGCTCCATGACTTGAAGGCCAGCCACATGTGCTAGGTGAAAAGGAAGCTCAGATAGAGAAGAGAGCACCAAATAAAGGGTGTTGCGACACTCTCCCAGGGTGGGAGAAGCATGCTAAAAGTAGTCTATAGAGCAAACATGATTGCCACTCAAGGCCTCTCTTGCAAAACACAGTACCCAAAAGAAGAGAGAGAGAACAAGGGGTAATACCCTGCCACAGAGGCAGGGTGGGACGGGGGGGGGGGGGGTGGAGGGGGGCGGGTTGCTGGGACCCGTGGTGGTGGAGGATGGGCACTGGTGGAGGGATGGGTACTTGATCATTGTATAACTGAAACCCAAGCACAAAAGTTTATAAGTCTATAACTGTACCTCATGGTGTTTCACTAATAAAAAAATAAAAAATAAATAAAAAAAAGAAAAGAGGGTGGAGAAAGCTGGTGTGGGGGATGTAAAGAAGCAGAGAGGGGTATTGGTCCTTGCAAAACTCAGAACCTGGGAGAGCCCTGTATATGTCCAATAGTCAAGTTCCTCTAGCTCTTTATTTAGGACTCCGGTCTCTTTACTGATATTCTGTCTAGTTGATCTGTCTAGTGGTGAAAGATGAGTGTGGAAATCTCCCAAGGGCAATGGAAATAAAGTAATGGAAATAGAGTATGATCAATTTGTATGTTAAAAAAAAAATCAGGGACTGGAGAGATAGCACAGCGGGTAGGGCGTTTGCCTTGCACGCGGCCAACCCGGGTTCGATTCCCAGCATCCCATATGGTCCCCTGAGCACCGCCGGGAGTAACTCCTGAGTGCAGAGCCAGGAGTATCCCCTGTGCATCACCAGGTGTGACCCAAAAAGCAAATAAATAAATAAATAAAATAAAAAACTAAAAATAAATAAATCAGAATTTGGTCCTAACTGTAGGAACTTTAACATCATTTTCCCACAGGAGGTGCAAGCTGCAGGTGCTGGATTTAGGTCCTATTGGTGATCAGTTCTGGTATCAATGGTGTGGTACCCCTGTTAGATGGAGCTCAAAGGGGAAGGCACCACGGCCTGTAGAAAGTGCCAGAAAAGGACACACCTCTGCTCGCCTGGAGGTGGTCATAGATCTTACAGTCTCCATAGCTCCCCTCCCGAAATTAACAGCCTACATGCTTAACTGGGTGAAGGAGAGAAAAGATGTTCATCTGTGCTGTAGAAAGATAACGTTTTTGCATAATTCCTTCATCGACATGTGCCTGAACACTGTTAAACTGAGCTGTGTCCAAGAAGTAGAAGCAAATTTGTACTGGAAAACGTCCACCCTGGAACTGTTTGCGCCTATCCTGGATCAGACAAAGAACCTGCAGAGACTAATAATTTTATGTACTGAGGTACCTCGCCACATCTGGCCTTCGATGCTGAAGGGTGAATCGTGGTTTGTGACCCTGTTGTCTACTCAGTTATTCCAGCTGCACAGCCTTCGAGAGCTCTATCTGGAGTCAGCCACCTTCCTCAAAGGACATCTGGACCAGGTGCTCAGGTAAGAGTTGCAGTCATGCTCTAGAGGCTTTGGAAAGGGAGCTTGAGAAGGAAAGTATCTAGGAATGGTGTTTTGTAAATACCAAAGTGCTAGTTGCCAAGATGATTTAGAGAATTGCTAAATAACCAGGGAACACCTACTCTTAGTATTCCCTAAGAGCAACTCTGCGCTCCCCTCTGGGGACAGGAACGATCCAGGCTCAAACACCCATCTCTCTGTGGACTGCTCTGGTCATATGTCAATACATAGGGAATGTCTGACTGGACAGTGGGAGGGGAGGTCACTCAAAACTAGTAAGGGCTGCTGTGGGTCTGATGAGTGTGTGGGAGCCTGTGGTCAGTGGAGTTCTGTGGGGAGATGTTGGGGTTCTGGCTCAGGATCATTAACTTTTCTTGTCTCCCTCTCCAGTCTCAAGTTTGTGTCATCTAGGATTATATATATATATATATATATATATATATATATATATAAATTCTTTTCCTTTTCTTTCTTTGGGCTGGAGCGATAGCACAGTGGGTAGGGCATTTGCCTTGCATGCAGCCAACATGGCCGACCCGAGTTCGATTCCTCTGGCCCTCTCGGAGAGCCTGGCAAGCTACCGAGAGTATCTTGCCCACACGGCAAAGCCTGGCAAGCTACCTGTGATGTATTCAATATGTCAAACACAGTAACAATAAAGTCTCACGATGGAGACATTACTGGGCCCGCTCGAGAAAATCGATAAACAACGGGAGGACAGTGATTCTTTTCTTTGCTTTTTAGGTCACACCCAGCGATGCTCAGGGGTAACTCCTGGCTCTGCACTCAGGAATTACTCCTGGCAGATTGAACCAGGGTCAGCCATATGCAAATGTCCTACCCACTATACTACTGTTCTAGAACAGTTTTTAAATTTTTATTTTCTTGAATCACCGTGAGATACAGTTACAAGCTTTCATGTTACAATCATACAATTGTTCTAGAACATTTTAAACCATTTACCAGATGCATGAATCTGGTACAAATTAAGGCCCTTCATAACATCCTTGCTTTGGTCTCTGCCATTTTTCTATTTTCCATAACATCATTAGTCAGCCCTTTCTGTCACTTAAGTGCTCTGGAATTTTTTTTTTATTTTTATATTTTCAGAGGTTACTCCTAGCTTTAAGCCGAGGAATTACTCCTTGTGGTGCTCGGGGAAACATATGGGATGCTGGGGATTGAACTCAGGTTGGCTGCATGCAAGGCAATAGTACCCACTGTACTATCGCTCCGGCCCGATTCTATATTTCTTATTTTGTTATTTGTTTATTGCTTTTTTGGGGTTCAATGCAGTGTTACTCAGGATTTACTCCTGGCACTGCACTCAAGAGACCCTGGTGGGTCTCAAGGATTATATGAGTTGTGGGGAATTGACCCCAGGTTGGCTGCATGCAAGGCAAATACCCTACTTGCTCCTGCCCAAGATTATATTTTTCAATGTGTTCTTTATCTGGACACACCATGAGCTCCTGAGTGTTGTTGATTGAAAAGCACCGCTCACAGGGACTTACATGTCATCTAGCCAGTCACGGTTGAGCACATTTAGTTTTATCTTCCTATGTCACAATCCATGATGATCGCTTGATTGAGACACTGTGTCTTGTTCTCCACCGAGGAATTGGTTAAATATGCCATTTCTTGCTTCCTCCCAGAAAGTTAGTGGGGTATGTGTGCTCCTCTGAGCCTTAAAAGAGTTTATGAGAGTTTGTGAAATTGACAAGCAACACTGTTGAAGGCAACACATTGCCCCTTCAAGCGAAAGCGGGTCCCTCTGGGCTGGCCTCCCTAAGAACATCAGATTCTGATGGATCTTATAGGATCAGTCTTCTCTCTCGAGATCCATCTCCATGCACAACCCTATTCTTCAGGGGTAACTCTTTGTGTCTTCCCAGGTGCCCGAGGACCCCTTTGGAGACCTTGTCCCTCACAGGGTGTCCACTTCTAGAGCAAGACTTGACCCATCTGGGCCAGTGCCCCAACCTCACCCAACTGAAGGAGTTGAGTCTGAGAGGCACCCTCTTAAGCCGGGTGAGGGATCACCTGCGTTTGCTGCTAGAGAACTGTGCGTCCACCCTGCAGGATCTGGACTTAGGGATGTGTGGGCTCCAGGACTCCCACCTAGAGGCCATCCTGCCTGCGCTGACACTCTGCTCTCAACTCAGGATCCTAAAACTCTTTGGGAACCGCGTGTCCAGGGCCGTCCTGGTCCAGATGTTGCGCCACCTGGCCGGGCTGCCCCACTTAACGCTGGAGGTCTATCCGGCCCCGCAGGAGAGCTACAGTGCTCCAAAGAGGCTCCACCAAAAGACCTTTGATCTGCTTTGTGCCAGGCTGAGGGCGGTTCTCAGGGACCTTGGAAAGCCCAGGGTGATCTTGGTGAGCACTGAGCCCTGTTCTCTGCATGGAAAGGCTCTTCTTTATAACTTTGAGCCCACGATGTCCTCTTATCCCTGCTGCCATTATCAGACTCAAAAGATTTCATTTCTGAATTGAGAAAGAGAAAAGAGCTACCTGGTGTCTATACAGGGACACAGACCGGTGGTGTGAAGGGAGATTCATGAAATGGTCAAAGCCAGGATATGCAGCTGGTATCTTCGTGGGCAGTATTGGTACTGTAACAATGGGGTTTCCAAGAACTTGTCTCTAGAGCCAGGCGTAACTTTGGAATTATTGAGCTATTTCATTCTTTGGGCTATATATGAGAGTGAGGGTTCTTAGTGTAGAATGTTTTATAGGGAGTCAAATGACGAGATCAGGGTCTGGGGTTGGGACTCAGCAGAGCACACACCTTACATCCGAAGCCCAGTGTTCCATCCTTAACAATAAGCACTACACTGTAGCACTGTCGTCCCATTGTTCATCTATTTGCTTGAGTGGGCACCAGTAACATCTGGTGAGACTTGTTTCTGTTTTTGGCATTTGAAATACACCACTGGGACCTTGCCAGGCTCTGCTGTGCAGGCAGAATACTCTCGATAGCTTGCCGGGGTCTCTGAGAGGGACGGAGGGAGGAATCAAATCCGGGTTGGCCGCATGCAAGGCAAACACCCTACCCGCTGTGCTACTGCTCCAGCCCAAATATGATATATTAATAGCAAATCAACATTCTTGAAGCAGTCCCTTCATTGAGATACTAGTCGCTCCACAAAATTTCCAGAGCTTCTTTAACTTACATTGCTTCTCACATCTTTAAAATATGCTACAAACACTGTCCCAATTTAGAAGGTATTCATCTTATATGTCCGAAATTTTTATGTTTTGTGTGTGTGTGACAGTATAATGTAGACATGCTCAGTATCTGTTGAGTGATCTCCAAGGCTGAACCAAATGTTTGGTTAATCACTACTAGCAATAAAATTGTTCATGTTGAAACTACCAATGAATCCTCATGACATTTTACTTTTGTTTTGTTTTGCTTTGTTTTGGGACCACACCAAGCCATGCTTAGGGCTTATTCCTGGCTCTGCAATCAAGAATAACTACTAGTGGTGCTTGGGAAACCATACCGGATTCTGGGGCTTGAACCCGAGACAGCTGCATGCAAGCAAATGCCCTACCCACTCACTGTACTATCATCCTGGCACCTCTTCTACATTTCTTAGAAGTGTATACTAGAAACTGGAGAAAAGAATAATCTTTCTCAGATTTCTAAAAGTTCAAGAGTTCATTAAGATTCCATCTATTACATTCACATTAATCTTCTGGGTTAGTCATGGAAATGACCCATATGGGCTTGTTATCATTCTTCAGTCTTCTCTTGAGTTTTGGTAACCTATTTAATAAAATGAAGGTTCTAATACCTACTTGACAGGCTTACAGTGAGGACTTAATGTTCTATGGAATTACTAAGTCTGGATACTAAATATTCTAAAGATTCAGATATTATTTTTCCCTACCATAAAGAATAAAGCAGAGTAAAGGGAAAGAAATGTGGGTATCATTTTATGCAGGAACGCTAGAGAAGGCCTAAGAAGGTGACATTTAGTAGGTAATAAAACAGCCACACAGAGATCTGGAAGCCACGCAGGGAGATCTGCACAGAACTTGGCAAAGTTAGGCAAAACTTCGGCAAAACGATAAGATGATGAGTAAGGAACCATCTGAGCAAGGGTCTGAGCAGTAATACAGAGGTTCAAATGCTCATCTCACTTCCTGTTGCCCTGGTTTGAATCCCCACACTCCCTACGATCCCCTTTATTCGGCCAGGGTTCTCGCCAATAGTCCAGGGGGTGGGGCACTCAGTTGCACGTGACCAAGCTAGGTTTGATTCCTGGCATTCCATATGGTTTCCAGAGCACTGTCATGAGTAATTCTTTTTTTCTTTTTGAGCCAAACCTGGTGTTGCTCAGGGTTTACTCCTGGCTCTGCACTCAGGGATCACTCTCTGAGAGCCCAGAGGACCATTTTGGGTGCTGGGGATCGAAACTGGGTCAGCTACAGTCATTACCCATTGTGCTATTACTCTGTCCCAAAATACTGTCTTTCCTTCCCAGTCCATTGGCCGTGTTGATCTCACTTTCCAGGGAGGAAACACCCTCAGCCAGGGAGGGACCAAAGGGCAGACCCTCCCTGCCCTCAGGGGTGCCTTTGTCTTCTCTTCAGAAATGCCCCTTTCACTTCCAATCCCACCAAGAGCTCCCATCCCCTCAAAAAATAATCTTATATAACTTTGGTTAGGGCTCTCCTGGGATCTGATTAGGAACAATCAGCTCTGTGCTACACGAGGTGCCCTAGAATCCCAGCCTCCAGTCTCTGGGGTTCGGATCAGACTCTCCACCAGGAAACCAGCCACATCCTTAGTGGCACCATTTCTCCTTATTGGGTTTAGGAACTGCTGTTTCCCAACATTATCTTAAGCGACAACTTGATAAATGGCATTGCCCCCTTCTATTTAGTTTGGGTTAACATCCCTGTATCAAGGAAGCTGTGGGTTTTTTTTTTTCCCCTCATTGGTTTGGTTTTTTGGCAGGGAGCACTTCCAGCAGTGCTCTAGGGAAACATATGGTACTGGAGATTGTAATTCTAGAAAAAGCACAGGAGCAAGTCATAGAAACCAATATTTTATTAGCCAAGAGATAGAAGTAGGCGGGCTGGAGCGATAGTACAGGGGGGTAGGGTGTTTGCCTTGCATGCAGCCGACCTGGGTTCGATTCGCAGCATCCCACATGGGCCCTCCGAGCACCGCCAGGAATGATTCCTGAGTGCAGAGCCAGGAGTAACCCCTGTGCATTGCCGGGTGTAACCCCCCCACAAAAAAAGAAAAGAAATAGAAGTAGGGAAGGATGTCCACCAAGATGGGCTAGAAAACGGTTAAAAGAAGAAATTGGGGTGGGGGTGAGGGAATTCCAATTTTATGCCCAGCAGAGTATATGCCCAGTAGAATAGCAGACAATTGACATACATATTCTAGTAGTTTTTCAGGAAACTCATAGCCATTCTAGTAGTTTTTCAGGAAACTCATAGCCGTTCATGAGCAAGCATGTGCAAATCAGGACCATATAGAGAAGATATGTCACAGATACAGAAAATGGCAGAGAAATGTCACCAATAAGTTATATAGTTTGACAACAGAGAAGAAGGAACTAGAGGTTGAATAAGAATTTACTGTGTCATCCCCGCCATCTGGTACTGTCTGGCCAGGGGTCTGGGACCCTTATCCAGACCAAAGTGTTTTTATTTTGTTGGACACGGTTGGTGCCCAACCAGACTGTTAGGATGAGCCTTTGGAGACTGACCCACAAACAGGCAGGAGCACAGGCCCCATGAAAAACGGGCGAGTCATGACTCGTATGTCCGGACTGGTTTGGAAAGGGTTAACATCTCTTCCTTTGGCTGCCTTTTAGCTTTTAGTGTTACATAGAGCAATCTTCCCTCTCTCACAGATACCTAACCCCGCTCTCTCCTCCCTTGACCATCTGCTAGAGAAGGACATCTGGGCTGAAAACTCAGCCTTGGCAAATAGTTTCATAACCCAAACATCAGAAGCCACCCTGACACGGGCGTGGGGCGGGCAACCACTGCGACATCCTGGAACATGTCCAGATGACCAATCTGTAACTTTTTGTACTGTCTGAAATTATGTTTTCATTTGAGTCACGAAACTTGCATTTTTACTAACGGTTTGGCTTTGAATTTGTAAGCGTGGGCTATGATGTAATCACTGCCTATGTAACTTGCAGCATCTCCCTTGCTCGGGTCTTGCTCTGATCTGCGTGCCTGAGAGCTTGACTCTAGCTAGCTGGCTTGAATAAACTCTGTTTGTGTTTTGCATTACTGGCTGGACTCTTTGTGTGGTTTGAAGGAGGGAGTATCAATCTCAGACCCCAACACTTTTATTTTTTATTTTATTTTATTAATAAAAATTTAGAAGTGTTCTAAGGATTCAGCTTTGGCCTAATCGGAGCCAGTCAAATACAAATCGGATACCATGGAGAGGTTTAAGTATGGCTTAAGTGATCACTTGATCACTTGACTTCCCGTTAATCGGCGATTTGCTCGAGCGGGCGCCAGTAACGTCTCCATTTGTCCCTGTCGCGTGCTTGTGTAGCCCAATGGCATCTGTTTGCTCTAGGAACATGAAGAGCCTCAAACCGATCGTTCATGATCTTGATGAAGAAGTCTGACCATCTAGTAGGTGGGCGGCCATGCGGTCTTTTGACATCCTGTGGAATCCAGTCGGTAACAGCTCTAGTCCAGCGGTCATCTTTAAATCTCATTACGTGACCAGCCCATCTGATTTTCGACACCTTGGCAAATGAGACAGCGTCCCTGATTCTTGGTCGTCGACGGATGTCAGAACTCCGGATTCGTTCTCTCATTTGAGTGAAACGTGATATTCCAAGCATAGCTCTTTCAATTCCTCTTTGGGAGACCCGAATAGCATTCTCATCCTGTTTGCGTAGGGCCCAGGTCTCTGAGGCATATGTTAATGCATGGCTCTCAGAAAGACTGGCAAGCTACCGAGAGTATTCCGCCCGCACAGCAGAGCCTGGCAAGCTATCCGTTGTGTATTCGATATGCCAAAACCAGTAACTACAATGGGTCTCATTCACCTGACCCTGAAGGCTTCACCAACATGGCAGCACTGAGAAGGATGAGAAGGATGGCTTAAGTATGGGAAACTTCTGCTGTGGAGAGGTTAACATGCTCCAAACTAAAATATGGTTTTCTTTTTTCCTCACCCCAGAAAGTCCTTCCATTTTTCAGGGCAAAGAGAAGGGGCAGCGTTGTAATAAACGTTGTCAGGATTGAACCAAAGGGATCCTAGTAGGCAGGGCAATATTCCTGCCTTTTGAGCCCTAATCCCAGCCAACACAAAGCTGCTGTTTGCTTTGTTTTTTTTTGTGTCTTGAGCCACACCCAGCTGTGCTCAGGACTTATTCCTGACTATACTCATAGGGCTCATTCTTTTGGGTCACGCTTGGTGGTGCTGCTTATGGGTAACTTCTGACTCTGCACTCAGGAATCACTCCTGGCGATGTTCAGGGAACCAA